AGGTGAGGTTTGTTGCAGATCATATTTTGGCTCTCATGAATTTGTTTATTATTTTCTTCAGCTTGAGTCTGAACTTGCTTAGGAACAATTGATAATCTGCTCCACACTCTGCCCCTGGACTTGTTTTGGATGATAATGTGGAGTTTTTCCGTTGTCTGTTTCCACAGATATAGTCAATTTGATTTCCATGATTTCTATGTGGTAAAGTCAATAGTTTTCTGTGTGTGCTGTTTCAAAAGGGTATTTGTAAAGACTAAGTCATTGGTCTTGCAAAATTCTATCATGTGATCTCCAACATGGTTTCTGTCACCAAAGTCATAGTTTCCAATTACTTATCCTTCCTCTTTGATTCCAATCTTTGCATTCTAATCACCAGTGACAATCAATACATCTTGATTCATGTTTGATCAATTTCACACTGACGAAGTTGGTTGTTGTTTTGTTGTTGTTAAGTGCCATCGAGTCGGTACTGACTCATAGCGACCTTATAGCAACAATAGAACGAAACACTGCCCAGTCCTGGGCCAACCTCATAATTGTTGCCACGCTTGAGCACATTGATGCTGCCACTTTGCCAAATCCATCTCGCTGGGGGTCTTCTTCTTTTTCTCTAACCCTCTACCTTACCAAACATGATATCCTTCTCCAGCAACTGGTCCTTCCTGACAATATGTCCGAAGTACAAGAGACGAAGTTTGACCATCCCTGGCCTCCAAGGAGCACTCTGGCTGCAGTTCTTCCAACACAGGTCTGTTGGTTCTTTTGGCAGCCCATGGCACTTTTCAATATTCTCCTCCAACACCATAACTCAAAAACATCAATTCTTTTACAGTCTTCCGTATTCACTGTCCAGCTTTTACATGCGTATGAGGCTATTGAAAATACCTTGGCTTAGGTCAGGCGCACCTTAGTCCTAAAGCTGATATCTTCATTCTTCAACACTTTTAAAAGGTCTTGTGCAGCAGATTTGCCTAATGCAATACAAAAAAGTCGTTTGACTTCTCGACTGCTACTTCCATAAGTGTTGATAGTTGATCCAAGAAGAATGAAGTCCTTGACAACTTCATTCTTATCTCCGTTGATAAAAATGTTGTTTATTGGTCCATTGGTGAGGATTTTTGTTTTCTTTACATTGAGATGCAATCCATACTCAAGGCTGCGCTCTTTGTTCTTCGTCAGTAAATATTTTAAGTCTTCACTTACAGCAAGCAAGGTTATATCATCTGCATATGGCAGGTTATTAACGAGTCTTCCTCCAATCCTGATGCCATGTTTTTCTTCATATAACCCAGCTTCTCGGATGATTTGCTCAGCATACAGGTTGAATAAGTATGATGAAAGAATACAACCCTGCCGCACACTTTTCTTCATTTTAAACTATTCAATGTTCCCATGTTCTATTCAAACAATTGCCTCTTGATCCGTGTACAGATTCCTCATGAGCACAATTAAGTGTTCTGGAAAACTCATACTTCGCAATGTTGCCCATAGCTTGTCATGAGCCACACAGTCGAAAGTCTTTGCATAGTCAATAAAGCACAGGTAAACATCTTTCTGATATTCTCTGCTTTCAGCCAAGATCCATTGGCTATCAGCAATGATACCCCTCATTCCACATCGTCTTCTGAATCCAACTTGAATCTCTGGAAGTTCTCTGTTAATGTATGCTTGCAGTTGTTTCTGTATTACCTTGAGTAAAACTTTACTCACATGGTATATCAAAGATATTGTCCAATGAATTTCATATTCCATTGGGTAACCTCTCTTTGGAATGGGCACAAATATGGATCTTTTCCAATCAGTTGGCCAGATAGTTGTCTTCCAAATTTCTTGGCATAGATGAGTAAGTGCCTCCAGTGCCGCATCACTTTCTTGAAGAAGTTGGTAGAATTCTTAAAAGTCATCATCAGTGGCTTTAGTGATTGTTGAATTAGTTTGAATAATAGTGATATTAACTTAGTTTGTTGTACTGCAGTGACTTTTTTGTTGTGATAGTAGACACAGTGCCACTAGTATTTAAATACCAGCAGGGTCAGCCTTGGTGGACAGATTTTAGCTGAACTTCTAAACTGAGACAGACTAGGAGGGATGAGAGCCAAACTACTTCTGAATGTTTTTTATTATTATTTATAAGTGCTGTTGCTTCAGTTCCAATTCATTACGACCCTGTGTAGAGTTTCCAACAAGTAGCTGTTGAGTTTGAACTGCCGATCTTCTGGTTAACAGTCCATTGCTTGTCATACAGCTCCACACCAGCAGTCCAGTATGTTTAGCCACTGAAAACCTTATAAATAGCAATGGTACACCGTCAGATAGCACCAGAATATTGAATATAGAAGCATGAATAGCACTAGAATGTTGTCAGTACAGTACTGGAAGTTGACCCCTTCAGATGGGAAGGCACTCAAAATATGCCTGAAGAAGACGCTGTCGTCAAAGTACAGCTGACTCTGATGACATGAATGGAGTCAAACTTTGGGAACCTTTATATGCTGATTGGGTAGAACTCATGTTAAGGAAAAAGAGCTGTATAAATCCATTAATGATCGGAAGATGGAATATGCGCAGTATGAATCTAGGAAAATTGGAAGTGGTCAACATTGAAATGGTACACTGAAAGATGAATATTCTAGGCATTAGTAACATGAAATTGACTGGTATTGGCCATTTTGAATCTAACAATAATGATTTACTATGCCAGTAATGACAAATTGAGAAAGAAAGGCATCACGTTTCAAGATATTACACAGTTATAGTAACAGGATATTCCTGGATATCAGCTACATTGGAATATGAGAGGCAGAACCACTTTTGAACCTAAGAAACAAAAGACAGAAAAAAGAGTTCATAAAAGAATGATAGTTTCATCATGTGAAATACAAGTTTATTATTTAAAATAATAGGTATTTGGAATGCCAGTGTGCTTTAGATATGTAGAGGTCAGAAATAGTTTCAGGAGGTGAATGAAACAGAAATGCAGAAGGAAATATTATGGAAATATTTAAAGTTTGCTTATTTCCTGAGATAGAGAATTTGGAGGCCTGGGTGAAATTGCTAAACAATTGAGATAAACTTAGGTATATGAATACCTAGGGTTTGTTGCTAAGTGTGCCAATGGAGATATGTAAGATTAACTTTGTCTATTGTTTATTTCTGAATTAAAAAAACAAAATTATGTTAAATTTTTAAATTTGCTTTTCAACCTAATGTAGCAGGTATTTTACTTCATTTAATTTCTGTCATCTGAAGCAAGAATTTGGGACTGAGTGGATAATTTTTATTGTCCTTGAAGTTAATGAGTATGTGAGTTTTTATACATGTTTGCATGGTCACAGAGTAATTATATCTAATTGTCCAAAGTTTAAATAAAAATGAATCCCTTATGAGAGTGTTCTGTAATGGAACTATTATTAAAGATGAAGTACCTTGTATGTTAGTATTTGCCTATGACTTTAATATTTTCAAGAGTAATCTTCATTGTTTTCATATGAATCCTTTACACTTTAAATTTGTGCATTTAAAGTGACCAACATAGCATTTTACATGATAATGAATGTCCAGTAAATGCTTGCCATTATTATTTCAGGCCGTATTATTCTTTATGATCTAGAGTACACTAACAAAAATCTAGTTCAATGTCATTAGGAAATTTGATGATACAATATACATATTTACTCATTGATACATACAGAAAGCAGAAGAAAATTACGTACAGATTAAGCATTCAAGTAAAAGTAGAAACTGAATAGTCTTCTCCTGGTGTGGAGCTGTAGGATCAGCACTGGACTGTGAACCACAAGGTCAGCAGTCCAGCGACTCCTTGGAAACTCTATACAGGGTCGCTTGGAGTTGGAACCACCTCGACGACACTTAACAACAACAACTACAAAGTATAGCTAAATGTGAGGAAGCTTCAAAAAGTTCATGGAAAAATATGGAGTATAAAGCAGTGTAATTTTTCCACAAACTTTGTGAAGCCAACTCATACATACGTGTGTAAATATGTCATCAATGCATAGCTTCTGTGGATGAAGAATTTTCTTCAACTAAGTTATTTCTTCAATAAAGTTACTCCTTACATTTCTAAAATTGAAATTGCACTATACTTTGAAGGCAGACAAAGGAAATATATCAATCCTTTTGTCTAATGTTCTCTTTGGGGAAGGTCAACCAGACATCGTTGTGGTTGGTCAGACTTAATAGCCATAAAGGATGTACAGAATGGGACTATACTTCCCCACTGGTTAAGCAGTAGACCAAGCTGTCCTCTGAAATGAGTGAGCATAGTAGCAGTGTCACTAACAAATGCCTTTTGTCGCTGTGCAGCAGCACCATGGATTGCATCATGTTAGGCTTCATCAGCTGCCTAATGCAATGTAACGCAGGAGATAAGATAAATCAAATGGATGACACCATATTAGATTTGAAAGATGAGAGCGTTTCTAAAGCAATTGCAGAGTTTATATATCAGTGCAGTTGACTTCAAGAGGTTACTGAAGTCAAAAAATCTCTATTACAAAAGCAATCATTCAAGAGCTAGGTAGCAAGTAAGCACAGTCATGCTATTTCTTCCAAAGAAAAGTAGAAAAAAAGGAAAATTCTTTTTTCATATTGGTTTTATATAGCTTTTGTGTTTAACCATGTTTTATTATGTCACAACTTGAGTATTTGTCTTTTTCAGGAGAGATGGACTTTTATTTTTAAGGATATTTGTATCTTTTGTTAATGATTTTAATTCCAAGTGTAATTAACCTAACTGAAATGTGCAATTTTTGTGACTCAGTATTAAGGCCTTTAATTGGTACACTATGAATAGGTAGTTAGTCACTATATTAGAATAATAGTGAAAGACTTGAATGGTTTTTACTTAAACTTATAAATTTAATTTTATAAAATAAAGTGCCATACTTTCCTTTTGGCTTTATGTGGCATGTTGTCGATTTCATTTAGGAATTGGGAGAAGGCACACGTGTGGTTATTGATCCCCTTTTGTTTTGTAGCCTACCGTGTGTGAACGAGAGCTGTGTGTATTTGCTTTCCAAACCCTGGGAGTAATGAATGAAGCTGCTGATGAAATAGCAACTGGGGCTCAGGTAGTAGCATATGATACTAATTATTTCTTTGTTTTGATTTGAAAAAGTTGTTTCAGTTCATTAATGTTCTCTTTGCTATTCTTTTGGGCAGTTTTTTGATAACTTGCTGCCAAATTAAAAAAACAGGCATTTGAAATTTTTAGATATAAGCCATATTTTTCTCTGTTTAGCTAATGTATGCTTTCATAAGTGGAAACATTAAACCAACTTTTATTAAGACATAATTGTTATTATTTCTTCTATAGTAACGTTACATCATTGGAACATTCACGCATGCTTTGTGTAAAATTTATTTCACATTTGTCATGTTACACTGTCACAAAAATGTTTACTCTAAACAGTGTATATGACGTCAAGAACAATATAAAAACAAAGAAACAACTTGGAGGTAGAGAAGCATTCTGTATTTGGATAGGAAAAAATAAAAGGAAGGATGCTCAAATTTATTAATTTTTGTAATTCCTATCAAAATTTCCATTATTACTTTTTAAATTATGGAACATGGCTAAACTACTAATTTAGCTTAAAGAATAAAACAAAAAAAATTTCAAACAAAATTCTACCAAAGAATGTTAATTAAGATAGGTTACCAAAACACTTACATGCACAAAAAACCTGCTGTTGAATCCATTTCCACTCATAGTGACACTGTAGGACAGGCTAGAGCCGACTTGATGGCACCTAAAAATGTACGGGGTACTGGTATGGCACTGTGGATTAAGGTCGGTTTGAACCTCATGGTCGGTGGTTCAAGCTCACAAGCCGTTCCTTAGAAACCCTATACAGGGTCACTATTGGTTGGAACCAATTTGATGGCATTTAACAACAACAATAACAGGCCAACCACATACAAAAACATATTGTTGTTGTTAAGTTCCGTGGAGTCGGTTCCAACTCATAGTGACACTGCACAGGGTTTCCGAGGCTGTAAATCTTTACAGGAGCGTTATGCCTCATCGTTCTCCCATGGACCACTGGTAGTTTCGAACTGCTGACCTTGAAGTTGGCAGCCCGACTCGTAACCACTACACTACCAGAGCTCCTTGCAAAAACATACAGCTCAGTGTTATTTTAACAGCGGCATCATATCAATTTATTTTGAAATGAAAAGAACTTAGTAATACGTGAAATGGTAACAACATCAGAGAGGATCACTTTAGCTGTTCATGTTACAATGTACGTAAAAGTTAATTCCAAGTGGGTTAAAGGTATTTTGTTGTATAAAAAGTACGCAAACTAGAGAGGAGTAAAACTAATGATATAGTGATGAATTTACACAGTTATAAGAAATCATAAAGGAAATGATGAACACATATGACTCCATGCATACTGTACATTTCTTACTTGAAAAAATAGTGAACATTAATATCTAACTTTTAAGAAGTTTATTTGGAAACAAACATAATTACCTAAAGAATTAACAATAATGGAGATAAAAACCAGAATAAGTTGAGGAAATAACTATACAACTCATAAAAATAGTTATAAAGTTAGTAAAAAAAATTAAGACAACTTGAAAAAAATATTCTGCCTCACCAGTAATCAAAAGGGTGCCAAATATAAAAGGAATTGCCAGTTTCTCGGCGATAAAAGTTACAAAGTTGGTTGGGCAAAACAATTATGCAACAGACATAATTCATTTTTTTCCCCAGTAAATACTGAATACCTACAGTATAGGAGTCCCGGTATGGTGCTGTATGATAAGCACTGGACTGCTAACCAAAAGCTAACTGCAAGGTTGGCCATTTAAACCCACCAGTCACTCTTGGAAACCCTATACAAGGTCACTATGAGTTCAAACTGAGAAGACGGCATTTAATAGCAATAACAACCTACCATACAGCCAGTATTAACACTAGATGAAGTTAAAATGATTAATATAGACATCTTTAGCTTTCTATATGTTATAAAGTAGTTATTTGTCTTATTATGTAAACTATTTCACAAATCCACTTGATGAAATATGAAGTGATGTGGTTGCGTCACATGGAATCAGTTCCAATTTATAGAGACCCTGTAAAGACTTTCTGAGGTAGAACTCTTTATAGGAGCAGAAAGCCTCACCTTTCTCCCACGGAACCGCTGGTAGTTTCCAACTGCTGACCTTGAGGTTATCAGTCCAACTTGAAACCGCTATGCTCCCAGAGCTCCTAGAGTGAGGTGGTAGTGCATGATAGATGAAAAATAGTTTGTAGTAGAACATTGTCACATGATTAATGGGGGGATGATTTCATAATTAAGTACAGTTTGAAAATACTGCATGATATTTTTCCTAAGGGAAAAATATATGTATATATTTGCATGCCTGTTTGTACTTGTATATGTACAGATAAGTAAAAATTCTTCAAGTAATACATTTAATTCTTGTTCATTTTATTGGATATAAAGGCTAAACTGGTTTTGTTTTGTTTTTTAAGAGGAAAACAGTGTAGAAATACTAAATTATTGATAAGAAGGGAAAACGAAGACATGCTAACAGTGTAGGGACAGTTTATAATAGAATAACACCCACCCACTTTCACTGAGTCTATTCTGACTCATAGTGACCCTGTATAGAGTTTCTGAGGCTGTAAATATTTATGGGAGCAGAAAGCCTTATCTTTCACCTGCATAGTGGTTATTGGGCTTGAACACTGCTGGCCTTGTGGTTTGCAGTCCTGTGCCTAGCCTACAGCGCCACCAGGGCTCCTTAATAGAGTAATGGTCTTTTTTTTTTGTCTCTTCTACAGATACATCTTCAAAAATAATGGTTTTTAGCTTTTGGATATATAATGAAATACCTACAAAGCCCATGTGTTTGGTCAGGTCAGTCAGTTCAGTGATTCAACTCTAAAGATCAAGGACCAAAGATCAGAGAATTTTGTGATTTTATTCCACAAAGTAATTTTTTTTTTCACTGCTTTCATTCTGCCCTTATATTCTAGACATATAACTAGTCATTATATGGAAATGAATTATTTTTCTAAGTATATTTATATGAAATGGTATATCAGCTGTTTCATATTAATTGTTTCAGTTCTATTGTGTTCTGAGTGAGTCCTGTTGATATCTGTATTCGTGTTCTTTGGGTCATTTTATTTAATGATCTTTCATACGCTCTGGTAGCGTAGTGGTTACGAATCGGGCTGCGAACCTTAAGGTCAGCGGTTCGAAACTACCAGCCGCTCCGCGGGAGAAAGATGAGGCTTTCTACTCCCGTAAAGATTTACACCCTCGGAAACCCTGTACAGGGTCGCTATGGGTCGGACCCGACTCGATGGCACTTAACAACAACAACAACAACATGCACAGTAGTTTCAGTGAGGTCACTGGAAATTCTGGATGCTGTAACTGAGTGGGAAAACTTGTGAATACACATACCATATTGAACGTTATTGTCACTGGAGTCCTGTTGTGGCACTGTAGGATAAGCACTCGATCATAGGTCAGTTTGAATCATGAGGTTGGTGGTTCAAACTCATCAGCTGCTTCTTAGAAACCCTATACGGAATCCCTATGCGTCAACAGCACTTAACAACAACTGTCATTAGGTTAAATGCCCTTCTCCTATAAACTGCTAAATCAAAAATTGTTCCTTCTTAAACTTTTCATTTATTTTCAAAATAACTGTTTTAAAACTTTCTAGAAATAGTGTTCCTTCAAAAGATCTGCTGCTTCCCCATTAAGTCCCAGTTTTCAGACTGTAGATAACGTTTATTCTGGTGAGCTCTCTCCTAAACTGGTAAGCATTTAGACATTATCAGTTTTCTTGATTCAGTTGCCTGAGTCATATTTGTTTTGAGGACTGGGGAAGGATGTGTGGTAATAATTGCCTTCAGAGCAGCGCTGTTAACTGCCATGTAGCCTATTTCTAAGTAAATTCTGCAAAGCAGTCCTAGTATGATTTATAAGGAAAGCTATTGTGGAGGTAAGATAATGTCAGGGGATTTACTATTCTTGGAGCAGTCCACACTCATTCCATTTCTCCATTTTTGGTATCTTTCACCTGGAACAGTCTGTCCCTAAGTTCCCCTTCCCTTGCTTCCTAGACCCCTGGAAAATATCACCCCATTAGAGAGACCTTCCCTAGTGTCTCTAAGAAAACAATACCCACTACTGCCTAAGTGTGCAATGCCAGCTTTGTACAGCATTTAACACTACCAGAAATACTATATAAGTGTATATTTCTTTAATTAATTTATTATATGTTTTACTCATTAGAATGTAGACTCTGAGATCCAGGGGACTTGTCTCATAGTTTATCTAACCATAGGGGCTTTGTTGTCAAGTCAGTTCCTACTCATACCAACCCAGTATAGGGCTTCCAAGAGGCACTGACCCTGTGGTTCACCAGGACTCCAACCATAGGCCTAGAACAAGCTTAACATGTAATATGTGCTCATGGTAAAGACACGTTGTTAAATGCCATCGAGTCAGCTCTGATTCATAGCAACACTGTATAGGATTTCTGAGGAATGGCTGGTGGGTTTGAACCACCGACCTTGCATTCCAGCGCATTATCCTACAGAACTCCAAAGACACATTAGGATGTGATGAATTGTAAGCAGCATGTATTCGTTATTAGTGGTCAGGTTCATCAAATTTGGTTTAAAGTACAGACTAACAGATCTGAGAGGCTGAAAGGAGTGCTGAGGATCTTCTAATGAATTTATGATACCGTGAAAGACAGAAACAATGGGACAGTAACTAGTGGATAGTAACTACTTCATGTGTGTATTTCAAGGTGGTAGATCTTCTAGTGTCCATGTGTAGATCTGCGTTGGAATCTCCTAGGAAAGTTGTCATTTTCGAGCCATATCCTTCTGTAGTAGATCCTAATGATCCTCAGATGCTGGCCTTCAACCCCAGGGTAAGTAGTTATCCTGGAACATCAACCATAATTCTGAATGATCCTTTCACCATCATTTCTGTTTAGTGTGTTTAGCTCTTCTTTCCGTCTTAATCTCTACCTCACCAACTGTGCCCATGACCTCTCCTGGACTCTGCGAACCATTTAGTAACCACGATTCTTGTTCAGAATACTTTATTTGCATCCACCTTCAGTCTTTTGCATATTCTCCCACCTCCCCACTTCTTTTCTCCTTTAAAATCATTATCAAGATTTCATTTTCATGAAACCTGGTCTAATTAATCTCCTCAAGATCTGATCTTTACATATCCTGTCCTCTTGATAGGTAGGTAAATGCTTCTATCAGACTGAATTTGCAATGCTCAGTATGATTCTCTTCATTTTATTATCTGTATTTTTTTGTATTCTGGCATATGTAACCTCTTTATAATTTTAAGGAACCCAGGTAAAGAGACCAGTTTTCTTTTTCATTTTGTATTTTCACTTCATGTGCCCTTGCTTCACTAGCCCCATAATAACTTAAACAAGGTGAAAGTTGAATTCCTATTGTAGATTTAGCTGGCATTTAATAAGAAAACAATTTGTAAATATGCACAGAGATTAGACAGATTCCTTTTGAAATACCAAAAATTTCAAATTGCATGAGAGCTAAAATTGCCTTGGTGTCTTCTTGAAATAATTTTATAATAATAATGACTGTGAAAAATTGCCTTGGAAAATATTTTCTTCCTTCATCTTGGCATCAGTACTCACAGTTATATAATTATATTTAAAAATGAACTTTCATTTTTATGTATATGCTTTCATTTACACATTTATTAGTCATTCTCTTGATAACAATCTACCAATCAAAAGAAACTGAAAAACAACTGTGAGATTTAAAATGAAATTTTGTAATTGAGAAGGCTTCTTGTTGCTGTTAGGAGATGTCGAGTCAGGTTCAACTCATAGCAACCCTGTGTACACAACAGAAATGAAAACTGCCTAGTCCTGAACCATGCTTTCAGCTATTGTTATGTTTGGGCACATTGTTACAGCCACTATGACAATCCTCTTTTTCAATGAGCCTCCATTTTATTAAGCATAATGTCCTTTTCCAGAGACTGGGTCCCTGTTGATAACATGGCCAAAGTGTGTGAGACAAAATCTTGCCATCTTTGCTTCCAAGGAGCATTCTGGCTGTACTTGTTCCAAGACAGATTTGTTTGTTCTTCTGGCAGTCCGTGGTACTTTCAGTATTCTTCACCAACACCATAATTAAAATGCCTTAATTCTTCAGAGTTTTTGTTCATTGTCTAGCTTCCTCATGCACATGACGCAATTGAAAATATCAGAGCTTGAGTGAGACATACCTGATGCCTCAAAGTGGCATTTTTGCTCCTGAATACTTTAGAGAGGACTCTTGCAGCAAACTTACTCATTGCAGATACATCATTTGATTTCTTGACTGCTGCTTCCATGAGCATTGATGTGGATCCAAATAAAATGAAATCCTTAACAAGTTCCATCTTTTCTCCATTTATTAATGTCATTTTTCAGTCTAGTTAGGAGGATTTTTGTTTTCTTTACACTGGGTTTTAATGCACTATGAAAGCTGTATTCTTCACTTTCAGCTAACAACATTGTGTCATCTGCGTATTGAAAGTTGTTATGAGACTTCCTCTATTTCTGCTGTTGCATTCTTCATATAGTTCAACTTATTGAATTATTAGCTCAGCATGCAGATTGAATAAATATGGTGAATTGATACTACTCTGATGCATATCTTTCCTGAATTTAGACAGAAATATCCCCATGTTCTATTTGAACAACTGCCTCTTGCTTCTGCATGAGCACAGTGGAGTGATCTGGAATTCCCATTCTTCACAATATTTATCCATAGTTTGTTATCATCCACACAGTCAAATCCTTTATGTAGTTAATAAAATGCATACAGAAAGTCTTTCTGGTATTGTTTCTAGCCAAGATCCATCTGACATCAGCAATGATATTTTCATTCCATGCTGTCTTCTGAATTCAACTTGAATTTCTGTCAGCACCCTATTGATGTACTGCTGTAGTCTTCAGCTAAATTTTACTTTCTTATGATATTAATGGTATTATTCGATGATTTTTGCATTCTGTAGAGTCACCTTTCTTTGAGCATCTTCCTTCCATACCATCATATGGATCTTCATCATATGCTACCTGTGGAAATGGTTGAATGTCAGCCAATTCTTTTTTGGTTCAATGACTCTACGTATTCTTTCCATCTTCTTTTGATGCTTCCTGAATCATTCACTATTTTTCCCATTGTTGTTGTTGTTAGGTGCCGTCCAGTTGGTACCGACTCATCGTGACCCCATGAACAACAGAAAGAAACACTGCCCGTCCTGTGCCAACCTCACAGTCATTGTTACTCTCGAGTCTATTGCTGCTGCCACTGTGGCAGTCAATCCGGTTGGGGGATTTCCTCTTTTTCACTGACCCTCCACTTTACCAAGCATTGTGTCTTTGTTTAGAGACTGGTCCCTCCTGACGATATGTCCGAAGTATGAGACAAAGTCTGTCCATTTTGTCTTCTAAGTAGCATTCTGGCTGTACTTCTTCCAATACAGATTTGTTTGTTCTTTTAGCACTCCATGGCACTTTTAATATTCTCTTCCAACACCATAACTCAAATATATCAATTCTTCTACGTCATCTTAATCACTGTCCAACTTTCCCATGCATTTGAGGTTATTGAAAATACTGTGACTTGGATCAGGCCCATCTTAGTCATCAAAATGACATCTTTGCTCTTGAACACTTTAAAGAGGTATTGTGCAGTGCGTCATTTAATGTCTTGACTGCTGCTTTCATGAGTATCATTGGTTGATCCAAGTAAAATGAAGTATTTACAGCATCAATCTTTTCTCCATTTATTTGGATGTTGTTTATTGGTCCAGTGGTGAAGAATTTTTGTTTTCTTTAAATTGATGTGCAACCCATACTGAGGTCTTTAATCTTCATCAATAAGTATTTTAAGTCTTCTTCGCTTTCAGCAAGCAAGGTTATATCATCTGCATATCTCAAATTGTTGAGTCTTTCTCCAACCCTGGTGCCATGTGTTTCTTCATGTAATACAGCTTCTCAAATTATTTACTCAGCTTACAGATAGAATAAGTATGGTGAAAGAATAACATCCTGGCACACACCTTTCCTAATTTTAGACTATTCAATATTCCCTTGTTCTGTTCAAACAATTGCGTCTTGGTCTTTGTACAGGTTCCTTGTGAGCAGAATTAAGTGTTCCAGAATACTCATTCTCCTCAATGTTGTCCATATCGTGTCATGATCCACACACTCAAAAGTCTTTGCCTAGTCAATAAAGCACAGGTAACTGTCTTTCTGATAAACTCTGCTTTCAGCCAAGATCCATCTGATGTCAGCAATGACAGCCCTCATTCCACTTCCTCTTCTGAAACCAGCTTGAACCTCTGGCAGTTCGCTGTCAATGTACTGCTATAGATGTTTTTAACTGTCTTTAGCAAAATTTTACTTGCTTACAATATTTATGATATTTTCTGATGAGTTTCCCATTCCTTTGCATCACCTGTCCTTGGAATATGCACAAATATGGGTCTCTTCTAATCAATTGGCTAGGTAGCTGTCTTCCAAATTTCTTGGCATAGATAATTGAATGCCTCCAGTGCCACATCAGTTTGTTGAAAGATTTCAATTTGTATTCCATCAATTCCCGGAACCTTGTTCTTGTCTAATGCCTTCAGTGCACCTTGGACATCTGCTTCAGTATCTGTCTCCTCATTTTGAGCAGTGCTCCATCATCAACAAATGCAGGTTTCAAAGGCTTTGCTCTATTTACATCATCATGGCCAGTTCTACTCTGTTGTTGTTGTTGTTGAGTGCCGTGGAGTCGGTTCCGACTCATAGCGACCCTGCACAGGGTTTCCAAGGCTGTAAATCTTTACGGGAGCAGAATGCCTCGTCTTTCTCCCGCGGAACCGCTGGTAGTTTCGAACTGTTGACCTTGCGGTTCACAGCCCGATTCGTAACCACTACGCTGTTCTACTCTGAGGGGGTAGTTTTTCCTCAGTCGTATTTTGACTGCCTTTCAACTTGAAGTGCTCACCTTCCAGCACTCTATCTGCCAATATTCTGGTGCTCTTCATCATATTTCAATATTGAATGTTCTCTGGTGCTCTCTGACAGTTTTCCACTGATAGTCATAAGGCTTTCAGTGACTAAGTATTCAGAAGCAGTCCATTTTTCCTCCTTCCTATTCATCTGAAATCGGTTCACCATGGGTGACCTTACTGGTATTTAAAATACCCGTGGCATAGCTTGTAGAATCACAGCAAAAGGCAAATCACTGGAGTATGGCAAACTGAGAGACGAGTGGTGGAATTTAGGCTTGAATTTGTTCTTCAGTTCTTTCATATTGAGAAATGCAGAGCATGTTCTTTTTTGGGGTTTTCTAACTCCAGATTTTTGCACATTTCATAATAATACTTTACTTTATTTTCTCCAGGTAGCTCCCCTTTGAAATTTTTTTTGTATAGCTCTTTTACTTTATCATTTCTTCCATTCTTTTTACTACTCTATGGCCAAAAGTAAATTTGAAACTCTGTTTTGACATTTACATTGGCCTTTTCTTCTTTTGTGTTTTTAATGCCCTTTTGCTTTGTTTATATATGTTCTTGATGCCATCCCACAACTTATCTGGCCTCAGTCATTAGTGTTCAGTGTGTCAAATGTGTTGTTGTTTAGGTGGGATATACTCTAGGACATATTTTGGCAATTGTGGACTTGCTTTAATTTTCTTCAGTGTCTGCCTGAATTTGAATATTAGCTATTGATGATGTGTTCCACAGTCAGCCCCTGGCCTTATTTTGGATGATGGTGAACTTCTCCATCATCTTTTCCCTCAGATATGGTCACCTTGACTCCTGTCTATTTGTCTGGTGCGGACTATGTGTATAGTCATCATTTCTGTTGTTGATAAAAGATACTGTCTTTGAGTAAATCGTTGGTCTTACAAAATTAATCCATGCAATCTCTGGCATTGTTTCTAAAACCAAGGCAAAGTTTTCAATTACTAATGCTTCCTCCTTGTTTTCAACTTTCATATTTCAGTTACCAATAGTTATCAATGCATCTTGATTGCATATTTAATCAATTTCAGACTGAAGAAGTTAGTAGAATTCTTCAATTTTTTCATCATTGACTTTGATGGTTAATGCATAATTTGAACAATAGTTGTATGAACTGTTTTCATGGTTGTTATTAAGTACTTTCATGTCGATTCTGACCCATAGTGACCCTGTATAGGGTTTCTTAGGAGTGGCTGGTTTAACGTAAACAGTTAACCTTGTGGTTCAAACCATCTGCAGTCCAGCACCTTAACCCACAGTGCCACACCAGGACCTATCACATACAGTGTTGTATTTCAAGATCGATCTTGAAATGTCCTTTTAGACAATGAACGTGACACCATTCCTCATCAGTCTGTCATTCCTAGCATAGTGAACGTTATGATTGTCTGATTCAAAATGGTCAGTATCAGTCCATTACATCTCAGTAATATCTAGGATATAAGTCTTTATGCATTCCATTTCATTTTTGATGACTTCCAGTTTTCCTAGATTCATGCTTCTTACATTCCATGTTCCAGTTGTTAATGGATGTTTGCAGCTGTTTCTTCTCATTTGAGTCGTGCCCTATCAGCAAACCAAGATCTTGAAAGCTTTGCTCTCCATATACATCATTAAAGTGAAAAGACAGCTCTTCCTCAGTCAAATTTTATGTGCCTTCCAATGTTAGGGACTCCTCTTTCTGTACTATAGAGACAATATTACACTGCTCTACATAAGGTTTTCAGTGGTTAATCCCTTCGAAATGGACTGCCTATTTCTTCTTCCTAGTCTATTCTTAATTTTGAAACTTCACTGAAGCCTGTCCACCATTGGCAACCCTGCAATTATTTAAAACACCAGTGGGGCATAGCTTCCAGCAATCACAGCAACACACTAGTTACCACATTATGACAAAATAACAGACAAGTAGGATGCTAGGTTTACTTAATTTTATTCATCATGTCTTGGTATTTTAATGATGAAAGCCAGAACCGGGAGCCCACTATCTAATTTGTATTTGTAGCTTTTTCATCCTATGACTGAACATGATTTGCATACTAATCTTTGTCCTGTCTTTGTTATTTCCTTTTTGGCTTCTGACTTAATTATAAATCCTATAGCCATCTTGCATCCATCTTCCCTTTTATGTACAAAAAAATAGTCCTTGCTTTCAAACTGCACTTGGTGGAAATTCACATATAGAAGTAATATGGTTCTGCAATGATAGTTGTCTTGCAAATGCATGTAAGTAATTACCTTTTTTTTTGTCTTCTTCTTCTTCTTTTTTTAACGTTCAAACAGAAGAAAAACTATGACCGAGTAATGAAAGCACTGGATAGCATAACTTCTATTAGAGAAATGACACAAGTAAGTATATCATCTTTTGGTCTTGTACAGTTCAATGTTGCTTGAGTTAAAATCATGTTTTAAAGATGCCTGAGAGTACTAGCCATGTAGTGAATTGGGTACTTTTTATTATATGACATACTGGTATGAAATGTATAATTGTGCTTTATGAATACGTTTTAACAAAATTGTAGCATGTATTGACATGCTGCCATTGTGGCTTTTGGCATGCAAATTCATAGTTGTAACCTCAGTGTTCTGCTCTTGAAGTCAACAAAATCTTTGTGCATGTGACAGTATGTCAGTAGATATTTGATTTGATAGCAAAGATTAACATTTTCTTAGAAAGTTAACTGGATTAATGGTAGTAATTTCAGTTTCAATGTTAAATTTAATACTCAGTTTTAATGTTAAAATAAAAACAGAAATATCCTATAAAATGCAAATAAGATAGAACGGAGAACTTGAAAACATCATTTCAAAACCCCATATTTCCTTAGTGTGTGTGAGTATATATTTTTGTCCATTACGGAGATTTTGGAAGGAAAGATTTTGGCAAGCAAAGGTCAAGGTTTATTATATAAGTCCCACCAGTAACTAGACTGTAGTCGAGTATGTGGGAAAGTACATACTTATTGCCGACTTTTACGTTGACAATGGTTTGCAGACAAGTATAAAACTTAACATTGTAAGTAGAAATTAATAATTAGCAATAAACAACAACAACACACATTTTATATGCTGTTTATGGTGGTTTCAGGCCTTGCACTACTCCTAGAGACACTTGGGACCTGGAATAGGAGAATTCTTTCACCACGAAGCTCCTAATCCCCAATCCGTCTTGTGATCTCATCTCACTCATCCTGTTCCTAATAGCCACAGTTCTTTACCTAGAAGTCACCAGCCACATCCCCATAGCTCTCAGTAAATCTTTGTAAAGATGATGTCCAGTTTTAGTTCTTACCAAGAAAATCATCTCTATTTCTCTTTTTGAAGACAGTGTGCAAAAGTGTGTTTTCACGTTCTCAAATCTGATTCTCCTCTCTTCTTCCCTGTTTTCTTCTGTTACATATCTTATTTCTTGCCCCAGCTCAAAATATTGTCCCCCCTCGGAACTCCTGTACAGGGTCGCTATGGGTCGGAACCGACTCGAAGGCACTTAACAACAACAATCTTAGTAATTATCTGACTTTGGTTCCCACTTCTCATCCTCTTTCAAAAGCTTGAGGGAAAAGAAGCATGCCTCTAGCACTCAGTCTGGACTATGTTATTATTGTTAAGTGCCACTGAGTCAGTTCCAAACCATTGCGAGCTTGTATAGGGTTTCCAGGGAGTGGCAGGTGAGCTTGAACCACCAACCTTGCAGTTCATAGAGGACAATAAAAAAGAATGCAATTTAATAATTTATTTATTCATGTAATTTTCAATATTCATGCATTTTTCAAATAGTATGAGTATCTCCAAATTTTCAAACAATAACAAATAAACTGTCATTTATAAAATATATTTTATGAATGCTAGTACTCTTAGTATGGTGCTGTAGGATCAGCACTGGACTTCAAACCACAGGTTGGCAGTTCAAAGCCACCAGCTGCTCCTCCAAAACCCTGTACAGGTTCACTATGAGTCAGAACCTACTCAGCAGCACTTAACAACAATAGCAATATTTGCTTAAAACCCACCATCTTTTCTGGATGCTTTACTATGGCCACACCTTTCTGTATGTTTTTAATTCTTTATCAAATAATCATTATTATTTATATAAGGGAAATAAAGCAATAAAATGCATTTTCACATAAGGGGTAAAAAGAGACCACTTCAATATCTTACAGAAGTTATGCAAGTGTTTCTAATTATGAAAAATAATTTGGTTTAGTGTATTTATAGTATACCCTAGACCCCAATCATTCTTGTATTTATAAATAGCTACCAACTCTAACTCTGGGATCAGCTCTCTGCCAAAAATTGTATCCTTTAAAATTCTAGGTCATATGTAAGCTATTTTAATACGAGAGGATGTAGATGATCGAGCATCAGCCTAGGAAGTTAGAGGCCAAAGTTATGTAACTGGCTCATCAATGATGTTCCTTTGACCTTGGGCAAGTTGGTTAATTGCCTGATATCTCAGTGTCTTCAGTGTCTTCACTGTCAAGATGAAATAGTAACCCTGTATCCTCTTTCACTCTCGACTTTATCGGAATGCTTTCAGGTTTTATTACATTGGATTCTTTAAGTCTCTTCAAATAAATGTAGCATTATCCTGTCATATTTTCTAGAATACGTTTCCATAATGATAGACTTATATTGTTACAGAGATTGAAATGGTTAATTTGTCTCAGTCAATTTCATTAAATATTTTTAGAAAGATGATATTTTATGCATATTTTGTCCATTTGTATCATGCAAAACTGTACACGTAAGTAAATGGCCTCACATATGAACATGACAAGTAGCTATCCCAAATGTTGTTTTAATATTCAAAGTTAAAAGTGGTAATCTTGAGGAGAAATGACTTAGAGTAGTTAATACTGTTAACATGCCAAGGATGCAAGTTTTCAAGTTTAACTAGATTAAGCTAACAGTTAAATCTGCCATTCCTTTTGTAAAAATGCGGGGCAGGAAAGTAAAAGGAAAAACAAATGTATTTTTAAGGCAAATTAAGAAGTGTAATGACTTTTTTCCAGGCACCATATCTGGAAATCAAGAAGCAGATGGATAAACAGGATCCCCTTGCTCATCCGCTACTGCAATGGTATACATTTTCAGTTTTTTTTCTTAATGAAAACAGCATGGTTTTTTGCTGCCTGCTTTAAAAAAGAAATTCTGAAAGAAATGCCTATTTTACCAGACCTGCAATGCTACAGTTTTCCTACAAGCTTAAGAGCCCTGATAATAATTTTACAATTCAGGAATCCTTAGTGGCTCTCACTTAATTAAAACTTGTATATCATAACAGGGAGAATATGCTGTCAGATACATGACAAGGATATACAATCTCATTTGACAGAAGTTTTTTCCTAGTTTTTAAAAAGATGCCTAGCTGGTGTGGGTGGTGTTTTGGTTCATTGAATTTTCTAGTTAACTGAGGACTAAGTGAAAAAAAAAAAGGAATTGATTGTTCCAACCTTTATTATTGAAAACTTATCTAAAATGCCTATTTTGCTTTCTTAACAAGGACAGTGTAGACTTGATTAACTCTTTGGTGACTGCAGAAGATGCCCTGTTTCAGAGATTTCATTGTGAGAGATATAGTATTCCTCCAATACAGACTGTAGGAGAGGTGTTCTGAGAACTCACCTTGATACAAACAAGAAATCTGTAACCAAACCCACTCCCATCTAGTAGATTCTGACTTTTAGTGACTCTGTATAGGGTTTCTGAGACTGTAAATCTTTATGAGAGCAGACAATCTCATCTTTCTCTTGTAGAACAATTGGTGGGTTTGGACCACCAACCTTTAGTTAGCAATCCAAAGTCTAACCGCCAGTGGCACTTTCATTTTTCATTTGCAAAATGAAGACAAGAATATCTACTCAACAAAGCTTTTAAAGGGTTTTATTTAGTCTCTTTGAAAATTCTCAAAAGCTGTGGAAAACACCATTCTTTCATGTAATAATATAAATATAACAATTATTATAAAATAGAAATTGGACTGAATGGATATGTTACTTACCAGAAAGTTGTTTAAATATTATGTAAAGGTGGACAATAGAGAATCTTCCTATCTCAAGATTCTGGTTACTTAGCTTTCAGTAAGTCCAAATTTTACAATGTTGTCAGGTGCCATTGAGTCGGAACCGACTCATAGCGACCCCATGCACAGCAGAACGAAACAATGTCTGATCCTGGGCCAACCTCACTACCGCTGCGACACTTGAGTCCATCAATGATGTTACCTGGCTGATCCATCTCGTTGGGGGTCTTCCT